CACAAACATCAACAGAACAGAACAGAAAACAGAAATAAACCCAGGCACATCCTTTCAAGTAATATTTATCAAAGCTGCAAGACACAGAAGAACGGAAAGATAGTTTCTTCAATGAATGGTGCTGCTGAAATTAATATTCCTATCTAAACACAACAATACTGGACAACACTGATAATATGTAACTCAACCTGCATGACAGAATTGAATGTCAGCCCTAAAACTAAAAACTCCTCAGGACAATCTAGAGAAAAAGTTTTGCAGGTTTGTTTTGGACAGGATTTTCTGAATGTGACACCAACCAACAGACAAAAAAGAAAAAACAAACTGTCCAGATTGCAACAAATAAAGAAAAGAAGCTTCTTCTCAGCACAACAGCAATAAACAAAATGAAAGGAAAGGAAATCTAAAGAACAGAAGAAAATATTAGCAAATCATATGAAGGAATCACTTGGAGTGATTGTGGATTCAGTTATGATCAGCATAATAAAGCAAACATTGCAATATAGAAAGAAATTCACTCAAATAGTTGCAGCTCCCATGGAATAATATAGGTATGTTAATACCACAGGGCAAGCTAATAATGCAATGACTGTCTTAAAAGCAAACTCGATATAACTTCATTACAAATACATTATTCTAAGCACCAGTAACAAGCATCTGAGCTTGCTAGAAACATGCTGGCACTAGAACAGCGGACCCAAGGTTGCAAAAACATAGACTTTGTAAAAAGCAGGTGTGGGGGAGCAATATCTGCAAAGTGCAATTAAGCACATGCAGTATGTCATAAGCATGTAATATGTAAAATATACATGGTCATCAAAAGAATGTTTAACCAAAAAATACAGTTATTAATCAGGATAAATGTATAAAAACAATTCTTTTTTTCTTTCGCATTTTAAAATATATATATTTTATTGATTTTTCACATAGAGGAAGCGAGAGGGAGAGTTAGAAACATGGAGGATAAGAGACATCGATCAGCTGCCTCTTGCACACCCCCTACTGGGGATGTGCCCACAACCAAGGTACATGCCCTTGATAGGAATCGAACCCGGGACCTTTCAGTCCACAGGCAGACGCTCTATCCACTGAGGCAAACCGGTTTTGGCTAAAAATAATTCTTTTAAAACTATGCACAAAAGACCAACAGGAATATAGAAAATGCTTTCCTCACTGATCAAGGTGGAATCCCTCAGGCTTCCTGTAAGACTACCAAACACAAGTCCTTCCTTGTGAACTTAGTCCAGCGGGGAGAATTGGAACTTCAAGACTAGAAGGGAGCAGTGGATACTACCTACCTTCCCCAGGACACCAACTACCCAGGAAACTGGAAAATCAAGCAGAACCACAGTCTACATGAGAGGACACAGCTCACCCTGGGAGATGGGGCCTGGGAAATCCCAAAGCCAAGTCCAGATCACTGGTGAGAGTGAGGGTCTTACCCAGTGAGGATACAAGTTCAAAGTTCTCCAGCATCACATTCAGGTACAGCTGTCTCTGACCCTCATCAAGGAGGCTCCATTCCTCCCTGGAGAAGTACAGGGCAATGTCCTCCAAGGTCACGCCAACCTGTTAGAATGGAGACCATTGACACCAAAGCTGCCTTTCTGAGAACCAGTAATTGTACTCCTGACACACGTTCTCCCCACTCAAACCCCTCCAGGGCAACCGGTTAGTGTGGACTCCAGGCCCTAATGCTAAGGCTCCAGGCCCCTGATGGGACCCCACAGCCGGGAAAGCCCCAATGAGGCTGTGACTTCCTCCCTGCAGCCTCTGATCTGCCCGCCAACCCTCACAGCCACACTCTCAGTGGAACCTCAGAGGCCGGTCACCCCTGTCCTCTCCGACCCGCACTGGCTGTGTCCTCAGAAGCCACCGCGCTCCTCCCTCCCCTCCGCCGTCCTCACGGTCCTGCCCGCGGACAGAGCTGCAGGACGTGACAAATGCCCCTCAGGCTGTGGTGTCTGTGTCAGGAGGAAGTGAGGCCTGGGGGACAGGAACTCACCTCAGCACGTTTCCTCAGCGCGGGCGCCGCCATCGCGCTCTGTGGGCCGCGCGGGACTGGGGCGGCGGGAGCGGAAGCCGCTGCAGGAATGGCGGGGCCTGTGAGCTGTGAGCACCACGGGAGGCTCCCCGTTGTTGTGAGGCGGGGAACACCACTCTCAACTTCCTCCACAGGAGCGTAGATTTGGAAAACCTGACCGCCACAGAAATCCGAAAACAGAAACTCCCTCCTGGAGGCTTCCGGTCAAGCACTACGGAAATAACCAAACGGAAACGCCTTCTCTGAGCCCCCATTGGGTCAGCCTGCTGGCATTCTATGCCTGGCCTTCTGGGTAATGTAGTTTTTCCCATCCAAGTCCAGGATCCTGTATTTCTCAATTGAATCTAGGACTGGATTTAAGGGCTGATAGCTCAAGAACACACCCAGAATACTAAGTGCCCTCTAGCACCTTCAGGGGAGGTTATTTGGGAGGAGGGGGGGGGCAAAAACAAATGAACTTCTGAGAAATAATTCCCCATAAATTCCACCATAAACCACATACAACATTGAGATAGAATAACAAAATTATGGAATATCTATTTATAGATTTATCTATATGTCAATATGCTAAGTGTCCAACAATCTGGGTAATGATGTCCTGGCTTCCAATGCCTGACAACCACTAGCCTTAGGTGGAAACACATTACTCTGTAACGAAATGTCTGCGAAGCATTTTTCTGTGCTGCATCTCATTTGATCCTCACAGAAGTCCTGGAGTAGGTAGATAGCACACTAGGTAGAATGCTATTTTCATTAGACAGAAAACATAGATTTAGAAAGCTTAGAAAGTTGACTGAAAAGAAGAAAGAATTGGTGGATCCTGAAAATGACTTCAGGTTTCTCCACTGCACAGAATATAGTCAAACACTGTTGCAGTTAAATAATTTACCCTTTGAGCAGAAACAAGTTTGGCTCAGTGGATAAAGCTTCAGACTGCAAACTGAAAGGTCCCAGGTTCAATTCCAGTTAAGGACATGTAACTTGGTTGTGGGCACATCCCAGTGGGGGCTGTTCAGGGGGCAGCTGATCAATGTTTCCCTCTCATTGATGTTTCTAACTCTCTATCTCTCCCTTCCTCTCTGTAAAAAAATCAATAAAATGTAGTTTAAAAAAAATATCTTACCCTTTTGTTCTCCCTGTGTTATCTACATTAATAATATGCTTCTTGTTTACCGATGTATTGTTGACAATTACCTGAAAGAGAACTTGGGATGCTTCACGAGCTGGAAAAAGTTGAGCTACATCAGACACCAGGTCAATTACACACATTTATTCTATATGTATAAAAGGCTAAGCTGATTCGCCCGAGTGATACATATAAAGCTTTCTCTGGTGCCAATTGCACGCATGTGTTTCAGTCTGTCATTGTCAATGGTAAATTTGGTTTTGTTGACATTCTGAAGCTGAAAGAAAGCAACGGCGTTACATGGAAGAATGACAATTAAATTTGATAATAATAACAGTGATCCGAGTAGATATATCAATAATTATGCCTATGTAACCATAGTTGCCATCATATTCAGAAATGAATACGAAGAAACTCGTCTTGCTCATTCATTGTAAATGAGATCCCAATAATCCCAACGCCAGTAAAATGAAACAAATCAGTATCCTGTATCCTACATTACATGCAATTACGTATCCTATTCTTTTCCCACCTTGTGAAAAGGCTGGCAAACGAATATTGCATTAAGACTCAGAGACAACAGGGCCATCGACAAAAATATTAGATTCAATGGATGATGATGAAAAGAAAGCTTCCCCATTGATTCCTTCCAAAAGGATTACTCCTTCGGCAATACTGTGTTACAAATTAGAATTGAAAGTAGGTGCAATCATCATGCTATTAAGAGTCTTAACAGTAGCCGAAACCGGTTTGGCTCAGTGGTAGAGCGTCGGTCTGCGGACTGAAAGGTACCAGTTTCGATTCCGGTCAGGGCATGTACATTGGTTGCGGGCACATCCCCGGTGGATGTTTCTCTCTCATTGACGTTTCTAGCTCTCTATCTCTCTCCCTTCCTCTCTGTAAAAAAAATCAATAAAATATATTTAAAAAAAAAAAAAAAGTCTTACAGTAAACGGGGTCTTTGTAAGGATATTATGTTTATTACTGAAAGGTTGTGACCTAACATAATCAAATCTGAAGTATATTAATTGGATATGCAGTAGAGAGGTTTTTGATTCCAGAAATTGATTTATCCCTATCTGACACTGGCCTGTGATAGAATAAGTTTAATCAATTTATCATTTTTTTAATCGATATAGTCTTTATATCATGTTTAAAAAATTATATACATTATTGATTTTTACAGAGAGGGAGAGGGATAGAGTTGGAAACATCGATAAGAGAGAAACATTGATCAGCTGCCTCCTACACACCCCCCACTGGGGATGTGCCCGAAACCAAGGTACATGCCCCTGACCTGAATCAAACTTGGGATCTTTCAGTCTGCAGGCCGATGCTCTATCCACTAGCCAAACCAGATTTTGTCAATATCATGTTTTTGTTCTCTACATATCCTTTGCTGTGATAACATGCTATTGTTTGTTAATCAATTTATATATAATTTAAATGTACACATTACTAATTTCCTTTCATCTCCGACACTTCTATTATAAAGGGCTAACAGCGATATGAAAATATTTCTTACAATTCGCCGGGACTGGTTTAGCTCAATGGATAGAGCGTCGGCTTGGGGACTGAAGGGACCCGGGTTCGATTCCAGTCAAGGGCATGTACCTTGGTTGCGGGCATATCCCCAGTAGGGGGTGTGCAAGAGGCAACTGATCGATGACTCTCTCTCATCGATGTTTCTAACTCTCTATCTCTCTCCCTTCCTCTCTGTACAAAATCAATAAAATATATTAAAAAAGAAAAAAAAAAGAAAATATTTCTTACAATTAATTTCCTTAAAACGAAAACAAATTTGTGCACTGGGCCACTAGTTTTTGTTTGTTTCCGAATTTACACAAACATTTTATTAACAGTGGAACATCTTCCCCATGGGCTCTGTGTTCACCCTGCCAGCCAGGACCCAAGACACAAGTTCAGCACAGCTTCTGAGCCTCTCGCTCGGACTCCAATAGAGTGAGCATGTTGCCCTCGTGCACAGGGCCTTTCATGTTTCGGATGATGGAGCAGCTCATGTCGTCCATGAATTCCACGCGGACCTGTGTGCACTGTCCCTGGGAGCTGGTCCTGCCTAGCACCTTGGTAACACTGGCTAGCTTGATAGGCTGCATGCCACTCGTGTCCATGATGGCGGCAACAGTCTGGTGGAAAATGTGGGCCACTAGTTTTTAAATAAAGAATGATTGACCAAATAAAATATTATCTAATATAGCGATCTCCAGCCTTTTGAATATCACGGAAAACCAGTGGTCTGTGGACTACCAGTTGGCAATTGTTACTCTATGATGTGGATCATGTGAATATCCTACACACTGGTGGAAAAGCGACAAAAGTTAAAATCAGGTTCTTTGTATTTACAAGGAATAGTTTCTTGATTTTTAAAATATATTAATAACTTCCGAGAGAGATAAAAGCACCAATGAAGAGAGAGAATAGCTGACTAGCTACCTCCTGCACACTGGATTTGAACCTGTAAGTCGGGAATGTGACCTGTTGGCGTAAATACTATACCGTAGCCATATAATGCAATGATTCTGTCTCAAAAGCAAATGCTATATAACTTCATTAAAAACAATTCATTGCTCCCTGTACGGCCCGGGCCTCTCGTTTCCTCGTGGTGGCAGATTTCAACACTAAACTTGCACAATGTCTTTGAAACCAATAGTAGTAGATTTTGATGAAACATGGAACAAACTTTTAACGACAATCAAAGCTATTGTCATGTTGGAATACGTCAAAAGAGCAATATGGAATGATTGCTTCTCAAATATCTATGCCTTGTGTGTGGCCTATCCTGAACCCCTTGGAGAAAGACTTTACACAAAAACCAAGATTTTTTTGGAAAATCACGTATGGCATTTGCACAAGAGAGTTCTGGAATCTGAAAAGCAAGTACTTGTTATGTATCATAGGCATTGGGAGGAATATAGCAAGGGTGCAGACTATATGGACTGCTTGTATAGATATCTCAACACCCAGTTTATTAAAAAATAAATAAATTGGCAGAAGCTGACCTTCAGTATGGCTATGGTGGTGTAGATATGAATGAACCGCTTATGGAAATAGGAGAGCTAGCATTGGATATGTGAAAGAAATTATTGGTTGAACCGCTTCAGACAAACTTATCCAAATGCTGCTCCAAGAAATCAAAAATGATCGTGGTGGAGAAGACCCAAACCGGAAAGTAATCCATGGGGTTATTAACTCCTTTGTTCATGTTGAACAGTATAAGAAAAAATTCCCCTTAAAGTTTAATCAGGAAATCTTTGAATCCCCCTTTCTGACTGAAACAGGGGAGTATTACAAAAAAGAAGCTTCAAATTAATTACAAGAATCAAACTGCTCACAATATATGAAAAAGGTTCTAGGTAGATTAAAAGATGAAGAAATTCAATGTCGAAAATACTTGTGCCCAAGGTCATATACTAAATGATTAATGATTAAGGCACATCCCCGGTGGGGGGGGTGCAAGAGGCAGCAAAATGATCAGCAAAGAATGGTAGCAGACACTTACAGTTCTTACATGCAGAATGTCATAATATCATTCGACAAGAGAAAAAAAAATGACATGGCAAATATGTATGTCTTACTTCGTGCTGTGTCCACTGGTTTACCTCATATGATACAGGAGCTGCAAAATCATGTCCATGATGAGGGCCTTAGAGCGACCAGTAATCTTACTCAGGAAAATATGCCAACACTATTTGTGGAGTCAGTTTTGGAAGTACATGGTAAATTTGTTCAACTTATCAACACTGTTTTGAATGGTGGTCAGCACTTCATGAGTGCTTTGGATAAGGCTCTTACATCAGTTGTAAATTACAGAGAACCCAAGTCTGTTTGCAAAGCTCCTGAATTGCTTGCTAAGTACTGTGACAACTTACTAAAGAAATTAGCAAAGGGGAGGACTGAGCAATGAAGTGGAAGACAAACTCACCAGCTTCATTACTGTTTTTGTATAAATTGATGATAAGGATGTTTTTCAATACTTCTACGCAAGAATGCTGGCGAAATGTTTAATTCACGGGTTATCTATGTCTATGGATTCTGAAGAAGCCATGACCAATAAATTAAAGCAAGTATGTGGTTGAGTTTACCAGCAAGCTGTATCGGATGTATACAAATATGAGTGTCAGTGCTGATCTCAACAATAAGTTCAACAATTTTATCAAAAATCAAGACACAGTAATAGATTTGGGAATTAGTTTTCAAATATATGTTCCACAGGCTGGTGCATGTCCTCTTATCCAGGCTCCTTCAACTACATTTGCGATTCCCCAGGAATTGGAAAACAGTGTACAGATGTTTGAATTATTTTACTTACATGCCTCTGCACAGGTGAAGTAAAAATGAAATATTTGGGCAAACCATATGTAGCCATAGTTACAACATACCAAATGGAAGTTCTTTTAGCCTTCAACAACAGTGAAACTGTCAGCTATGAAGAGCGTCAAGACAGTACACAGGTTGAAACCAGTTTGGCTCAGAGGTAGAGCGTCAGTCTGTGGACTGAAAGGTCCTGGGTTCGATTCCGGTCAAGGGCGTGTACATTGGTTGCAGGCACATCCCCGGTGGGGGGTGTGCAAGAGGCAGCTGGTCGATGTTTCTCTCTCATCGGCATTTCTAGCTCTCTCTCCCTTCCTCTCAGTAAAAAATCGATAAAAAATATATTAAAATAAAAAAGCACACAGACGAATGAAAAGGAACTGACAAAAACAATCAAATCATTACCTGATGTGAAAATGATTAACCATGATTCAGAAAAGGAAGATATTGTTGCAGAATCTTAATTTTCATTAAATATGAACTTCAGCAGTAAAATTTAAAATTACTACATCAGTGCAGAAAGACACACCACAGGAAATGGAACAAACTAGAAGTGCTTTAGATGAGGACCGGAAAATGTATCTCCAAGCTGCTATAGTTCATATCATGAAAGCACAAAAAGTAATTTGGCATAATGCCCTTATTCAAGAGGTGATTAGTCAGTCAAGAGCTAGGTTTAACCCTAGTATCAGCATGTATTGAAGTGCTGATGGACAAACAGTACATTAAAGCAGCCAGGCTTCAGCAGATGAATACAGTTACGAAGCATGATGTTGCTCTCCTCCTGTGTGGGTGAGGCTCTGTCCACTGAGCAAAACCAGTTTTGTCGATTACTTGCACTCTTAACAACTTTCTCCAATGTGAACTCTCTTGTGATATCGAAGACCACTGCTACTTGTAAAATATCTCCCACATTTACACCATTTAAAAGGCTTTTATCCAGTGTGAATTCTCTGATGTTTCTGAAAGTTAGAATTAGTTGTTAAACATTCTCCACATTCTCTACATTGATAAGGCTTTTCTCTTGTGTAAAAGTTTCGCCACATTGACTGCATTGATAAGGCTTCTCTCCAGTGTGAACCATCTTATGAAAACGAAGCCCAGTGCTACTGGTAAAAGATTTCCCACGTTCACTGCACTTATAAGGCTTTTCTCCTGTGTGAGTTCTCTGAAGCCTACGAAGGTGACTGCTACTGGTAAAAGCTTTCTCACACTTACTACATTGATAAGGCTTTTCTCCACTGTGAACTCTCTGATGATATTGGAGACCACTGCTTTGTGTATAAGTTTTGCCACATTCACTACATTGAAAAGGCTGTTCTGCACTGAGAACTATCTGATGTCTACGAAGGCTGCCCTTAGTGTAAAAAGATTTTCCACATTCACTGCATTTATAAGGCTTTTCTCCTGTATGAATTCTTTGATGAGAATGAAGGTGAGAACGAAATGCAAAATATTTCCCACATTCAGAGCACTTAAAACATCGATTTTCAACATCAACACCTATTTCCTGAATAAACATGGTGGTTGTGGGCAACTGGGGAGTGAGAAGTGCCTGGCCTTGGAAAGTCTCCGCAGGCAGAAGCTGGGGTACCAGGAGAGGGAGAGAGAAACATCAATAATGAGAATCACTGATCAGCTGCCTCCTGCATTCCCCATACTAGGGGATTTACCCTGGTGCTGCACAGGTATGTGCTCTGATTGGGAATGGAACTGTGAACTCCTGGATCATAGCTCCATGGGGAACCACTGATCCCTTCTGGCTGGTGCTATCTTCATTCATGTCTCTAACTCTCCCTTTCATGCCGTGACACTTTAATATAGTTCCTCTTGTGGTTACCCCCACCATGAAATTATGTTCATTGCTACTTCATAACTGTAATTTTGCTACTGTTAATGAATCATAATGTAAGCTGATTGGTGGTTTAATGTCTCCGGGATGTTCCTGCAAAGATGCAGGTTACATCGTACTCCGCCCACCAGGTGGTGGAAGGGAGGATCTATACAAGTTCAAAGTTCTCCAGCATCACATTTAGGTAGAGCTGTCTCTGACCTTCACTAAGGAGGCTCCTTTCCTCCTTGGAGAAGTTCAGGGCAATGTCCTCAAAGGTCACAGGAACCTGTTAGATTTGAGACAAAGCTGTCCCTGAGAACCAGTCTGGCCTGCACCCTCTCCAATCTGGAACCATCGAAGGATGTCCTCCTGCTCGTTTAAGGGATCGGTTCTAAACTGGCAGTTGGACAATACTCTCACAATCTGGGACTGCTGGTTCCAGCCACCCACCTGCCTGCATGCCTGCCTGATCAACCCCAACTGCCCCTGTGCTACCTGCTTACCCCTATATGCCCCAGCTGCTCAACTCCAAACTGCCCCCTGCTGTCCTGATCACCTCCAACTGACCCCCACTGATGACCTGCTTGCCCCCAACTGCCCCCCCCCCCATTGGTCTGCATATCCCCAAAGGCCCCGGCCCCACAAGCCTGATCACCCACAATGCCCTCCCATCCTGGCCTGATCACTCCCTGGTGACCCAATTTCCCAGCCTGTCCTTCTTTTCATTTTTCAGCGCCTGCTTGAGCTGAGGCCAGGGCTGGCAGAAAGCAAGCATTTGGGATTTATTGATCTTCTATAACTGAAAATTTGTAGCCTAGATGGGAGGCCAGGGCTGTCCAGGGTGGGCGGGAAGCTTTGTTTCTGCAATCGCCAGGGGCAACCCAAGCCTACTGCTCTCTCCAGCTCCATGGCCATTAACTTCTTAGCTGGATTCATTTGCACACTTGCTCTGATTGGCTGGTGGGTGTAGCGGAGGTATGGTCAATTTAAATGTTTCTATTATATAAGATAGGTTCCCTTATTAAAATGCACCCAATGACAATGGTGCTTGTGGGCATCGGGGAGTGAGAAGTGTCTGGCCTGAGAATGTCTCTGCAGGGAGAAGCTGGAGTTGAAAGGAGATGGAGAGGGGGGAAAAATCAGTGCAGAGAATAATTTATCAGCTGCCTCCTGTATGCTCCACACACCAGATCCAGCCACAGCACAAGCATCCTCCCTGACTGTGAATGAGATCTTTTCTTCCTAGTTATCTGTATAAACTAGAGCACATGTGTCAAACACAAGGCCCGCGGGCCAAATCCGTCCCGCCAGGCCTTGCAATGTGGCCCACACCACGCTGTCATCACTGCACTCCGCTGCGTTTCCATCACAATGACAGTTTATGACTGTTCAGTAAACCATTCGGCCCGCGATTTAGGCTGGATTTTAGATTTTGGCCCCTTCTCTGATTGAGTTCGACACCCCTAAACTAGAGGCTTAGTGAACAAAATTCATGCGCTCAAGGGGACCCCTCAGACCAGGCTGTGCCCTATTGCAGTCCGGGAGCTCTCAGGGAATGTCTGACTCACCAAGGTAAATAACATGTATATCCATATAAACAATTATAGAGTCCTAACTGGTCTGGCTTAGTGGATAGAGTGTCTGCCTATGGACTGAGGGATCCCAGGTTCAATTCCGGTCAAGGGCATGTACCTTGGTTGTGGGCAGGACCCCAGTGGGGGATCTGCAGGAGGCAGCTAATCAATGTTTCTCTCTCATCAATGTTTCGAACTATCACTTTCCTTCATCTGTAAAAAACCAATATATTTTTTTTAAATAATTATACAGAAATGTTTGTACCAGCTGTATTAGCAATAACCAAATATTTATTAAAATGGACATGATAGTGATATAATATATATATATTTTTAAATATATTTTACTGATTTTTTACACAGAGGAAGAGAGAGGGATAGTTAGAAACATCAAGGAGAGAATCATTGATCAGCTGCTTCCTGCACACCCCACACTGGGGATGTGCCTGCAACCAAGGTACATGCCCTTGACCGAAATAGAACCCAGATCCTTCAGTCCGCAAGCTGACGCTCTATCCACTGAGCCAAACTGGTTTCGGCATGATAATGATATATTAAAAGACAGGAATATCCACCAGAGCGCTAGCCGACTTGGCTCTGGTTAGAGCATAGGCCTGCAGACCAAAGGCTTCTGGGATTGATTCCAGTGAAAGGCACATATCTTGGTTGAAGACTCCTTCCCAGCCCGGGCCATGGTCCCAGCTAATGCAGGAGGTAACCAATCCATTGTTTCCTTCATATCAATGTTTCCCTCTGTCTTTCCCTTGGGCTTTCACTCTAAAAAAAACAAAACAAAAAAAAAAAAAAAACAATAACAACAACAACAACAAATTATCCTAGGGTAATTAAAAAGAATATCTATCACACACACACACAAAAAGATGAACTACTAATATGTCTTTTAGAAATCTCCAAGAATATCTAAAATAATAATTAAAGCTAAAAAATATTTAAAAAGGCAAGTTTTCTAAAAATTAATAAATCTTTATTGCTCAGATTATTAGTTGTTTCTCCCCCCGCCCCCCCTCGCACCTTTACACCCAATTCCCACCCCACCCCACCCTCTGCCCTTACCTCCCGCCACACCGCTGTCCTCATCCATAGGTGTACCATTTCAGTTCAGTCAATTCCTGCACCCCCACAACCCTTCCCCCTGAAAATTATCAATCCACTCCCTTTCTTTGCACCTGACGCTATTATATTCACCAGTTTATTCTGTTCCAGAGATTTTAAAAACTACATTTTATTTTATATCTTGGTTTCTCTCAAAAGCCAAGTTCTTTATTAAGAGCAGCAAACAGATTAAAGGTCATGAAGTAACTACAGTCATAGATATGATCAGTATTGAGTGTAATGATGATTTCAGTTTCATGCACATGTTATGATTTATGAAACCTACACTTATACATGCAATTTACACATTATAGCTTTTAAAAGAATGTTCTTCATCTATATGCTGCACAGAATATAAACTTGCAGAGGTCACCAAGATCTGTGTACACACCACTCCTGTAGTTGTTTCCTCAAAAATATTTCTGGCCAAAACCGGTTTGGCTGAGTGTCGGTCTGCAGATTGGAAGGTCCGAGGTTGGATTCTGGTCAAGGGCATGTACTTTGGTTGCGGTCACATTCCCGGTGGGGGGTGTGCAAGAGGCGGCTGACCAATGATCCTCTCTCTGTCAATTTTTCTAACTCTCTATCCCTCTCTGTGGAAACTCAATAAAATATATTTTAAAAATATTTTTGGGTGCAGATATAGATGAAGACCATTCCTTCTATTGTAATTAGGTCAGTGTTTCTGCAAAAAGAGGTTTCCCCTCACAGCAATAGTCCTCTAACCAGTGCCCTTCATCCACGGAATTGAAATCTTTAGGGCACATGCCCCTCTGCAACAACTGGAAAAAACATCCCCTTCAATTGTCTTTGCATCTCTTGCAAAAAAGAAAAAAAATTCATGCTGCTCCCAGACATACTTGAGGTAGTCACAGCAATTCCCTCTTTGGAGTGATCTGTGTCTCAAAGCATCCATCTTCACATGAGGACTAGATGCCAAGTGTTGCCTGCAAAATTATGGGCAGCAATGTAAACCTGATTAAAATGGCTGAGCTAATTTCTGCACCATAGTCTTTCCTCTGGGCAAAAATGTTTGAGACCACATACAAGTTTTTCACATCATCATGCTTGGAGTGCCCAGATATTCTTATGAACAAACCCGTAGAATTAATAGAATACCCAAGTAGAAAGAAGACTTAGGAAAAGGCCTTCATTATTTTGCAAAGAAAGAGACCTGAGATTGGCAGTTCTCCCATTGATAACTTAGGCATTCAATAAATAAACTCATCATTAATCTAGGGAACGTGTGTCCCTGAAAATGGCAGTTCTTCTGAAACCTTATGTTAACTGGGGCCAGCAGGAATCAATACTATGTGGAGACTCATGACAGGGAAACAAGTAAGAACTAAGGGCTCAGCTATTCCTAATTTTCTTCAACAAATTAGACAACAGAGATTCACTAGGCACATGAGGATGGTGATTGATGCCATCTGCACGGACCATATAGGTGGTTCAAGTGAAATAACTTTAACAAAATAAATATGTACTGACATCGATCTGGTAGGACATCTCTGTATGTTACAAAGAGCAGCATAGATACATATAATTCCAACATAAAAACAAACACACACACAGCAGAAATAGTTGGGGGATGTTACATAATGTAGCTGATTAAATATAGCAGATACAATTCAGACTACTGAGACTTCACTTATATTATACAACAGTCAAATCCTAACTAACAAACTACATTTCCTACACATCAAGAATCTTTTCACATCAAGATTCTTTTGTAAAGAGATAATTTACAAGTTAGACTGAGAGATATCACACATTAATTTCGTTCATCAAGGCTTTCTCCACAGTGACCTCCATAATGATATTTAAGACCACTTCTACTTCTAAAAGATTTGCCACATTCACTGCATTGATAAGGCTTTTCTGCAGTGAACTCTCTAATGAGCATGAAGGCTAGTACTACAGACAAAATATTTCCTACATTCAATGCACGGATAAGGCTTTTCTCCTGGGTGAACTCTGATGATATTTGAGACCAGAGCTAACAGTAAAAGACTTTCCACATTCACTGCATTTATAAGGACTTTCTCCAGTGTGAACTCTCTGATGATAATGAAGGTTGCTGTTATGGGTAAAAATTTTCCTACATTCACTGCATTGATAAGACTTTCGTCTAGTGTGGATTCTCTGATGACAATTAAGTTCACTGCTACTGGTAAAAGATTTCCAACATTAACTGCATTTATAAGGCTTTTCTCCATTGTTAACGCCCTGACAATACTGGAGACCAACACAACTTTTAAAAGATTTCTCACATTAATTGCATTAATAAGGCTATTCTCCTGTATGAACTCTCTGATGCCTATGAAGGTTACTACTAGAGATAAAAGCTTTCTCACACTCACTACATTTATAAGGCTTTTCTCCACTGTGAATTCGCTGATGACTACGAAGGTTGCTCTTAGTGTTAAAAGATTTTCCACATTCACTGCATTGATAAGGCTTTTCTCCAGTGTGAACTCTCTGATGATATTGGAGAGCACTTCTATGGGGAAAAGATTTCAAACATTCGCTGCATTGATAAGACTTTTCTCTAGTGTGAATTCTCTGATGATATTGTAGACCATTTCTAGAGGTAAAAGATTTCGAACATTCACTGCACTTGTAAGGCTTTTCTCCTGTGTGAACTCTGTGATGATATTGTAGAGCACTTCTACCGATATAAGATTTCGAACATTCACTGCATTTATAAGGCTTTTCTCCACTGTGAACTCTCTGATGATATTGGTGACTACTTCTATTGGCAAAAGATTTCAAACATTTACTGCATTGATAAGGCTTTTCTCCTGTGTGAACTCTCTGATGATATCGGAGACCAGTTCTATCGGCAAAAGATTTCAAACATTCAATGCATTGATAAGGCTTTTCTGCAGTGTGAACTCTCTGATGACAATGAAGCCCACTGCTAGTGGTAAAAGATTTTCCACATTCATTGCATTGATAAGGCTTTTCTCCTGTGTGAACTCTCTGATGACGCTGAAGGGCAGTGCGCAGGATAAAAGATTTTCCACATTCACTGCATTTATACGGCTTATTTGCAGCGTGAAAACTTTGATGATAACGAATGCCAAAGCTACTCTTGAAAGATTTCCCACATTCACTGCAATGATAAGGCTTTTCTGCAGTGTGAACTCTCTGATGACAATAAAGCCCATTCCTAGTGGTAAAAGATTTTCCACATTCACTGCATTGATAAGGCTTTTCTCCAGTGTGAACTCTCTGGTGACAATAAAGCCCACTCCTAGTGGTAAAAGATTTTCCACATTCACTGCATTGATAAGGCTTTTCTTCAATGTGAATTCTCTGATGACACTGAAGGTCACTGCTGGTAGAAAAGGATTTCCCACAACCGCTACATTTATAAGGCTTTTCTTCATTGTGAACTCTCCGATGATAATGAAGTTTGCTTTTACGAGAAAAAGTTTTCCCACATTCACTGCATTTATAAGGCTTTTCACCTGTATGAATTCTCTGATGTCTACGAAGGACAGAACTGTGTGAAAAAGATTTCCCACAGGCACTGCATTCATAAGGCTTTTCTCCTGTGTGAACTCTCTGATGACAATGAAGGGCAGTGCTCCGGATAAAAGATTTTCCACATTCACTGCATTTATAAGGCTTATTTCCAGTGTGAAAACTTTGATGATAACGAAAGCCGAAGCTACTCTTGAAAGATTTCCCACATTCACTGCATTTATAAGGCTTATTTCCAGTGTGAAAACTTTGATGATAACGAAAGCCGAAGCTACTCTTGAAAGATTTCCCACATTCACTGCATTTATAAAGCTTTTCTCCAGTCCCAAGTCCCTGATGATGACGAAGATTACTGCTGCCTGGATCTTCCTCACATTCTTTTCTGGTGTAAAAATCTTTTCTCCTGTGAAACATCAAACCACCCTTGGAAATATCATTTGGCCTGTCCATGGTCTCATCAGCCTTTAGGTGGAGATGCTCTGACCAGCAAAGTGTGCCCTGCCCAACCTCCCCACAGGTGACATGATTCTGGGACACATTGAAATTGCAAATCTTTGCAAGTGACATCCTCTCCACACCCTTAATGAAAGTGTTCTCTCTCACATGCTGCTTCTGAAATTTGGCACTGAAATAAAATAGTTTTGCACATGCCCCACACCTCAGCTGTATCTGTCCATATTGTGTTCCTTGCAGCTCAGTCAGGTGGAAAATCCTTCTCAAGATGAGCCCACAACTCTCACAGGGGTGGCTCTTCTGGGAAATTAAGGCTGACTTGGGATTCCTGGCCTGTGACACTCTTACAGAATCATTCTGTTCCATCGGTACCTCCACATTGTCTGCTCCATAGCAGCAACCTGAACAAAAGGAAACGCTGGTGAAGTACATGTTGATCTTATGAAATCAGAACATTTTTGGGAAAACTGTTTCCCTGTCATGACTAGGCATGATTCCATGGAATGATTTTTAAGACAAGTGAGTTGAACTCTAAGGAATCAGCTGTTATACATTAGCTGGCCTCAAAAGTCAGTCAATGGTGAAAATCTCACCAGAACAGGAACAAAAGGCTAAGGTGGAAAACAAAGAAGACAAGAAGGCTTTAGTCATTGTTCCTCCACAAATGGCTTCTTTTAGGACCTTTCATGCTAGGGACCTGGGTCTGTGTAGGATAATTTGTATGTGCTAAAAGCCATACAACACAATTGTACTGAAGCACAGGATGTTCAAGGTCAATATAATATGTCTACATGCCAAGGCTCTGCAAGCATCATGGACCTAGGTTGGTCTGCAGTAAAGAGGGACTTGTGAAAGAGGTAGAAGGGCAAGGTGTAAAGAGATTAAAGTTATCTGTGGGCATGGAATCTAGGTAGATATGGTCATTATTACACCTGAGGAGCAGGCAAAGTGTGAACAATAAGACAGTAGAAGCAAAATTGAGTGAGGAATGGGTTGTGGAAGCAAAATACTTTTGAACAAAATGGGTTCCCAGTTATTACTTTAACAAAGCCCTGGTGTCAAAACCTTCCCAACAGGCCTTCACCAAGGCAAGAACGCCTCTGGGTGCACCTTTTCCTTCATAACGTCATGTTTCTTCTGTGATGCACAAATGATTCTTCCCCATGAATCCCAACTGAGTCGAACATGGGATTCAGATGATATAAATCCAAAAGAAAACAACAAATAGATGTATTGTGAGCACTGTTATAGAACTACAAAGCACAACAGAGATCATGCGGAAAAAATCTGAGTAGAGATTGATTTATTTATTTATTTATTTATTTATTTATTTTAAAGATGTATTTAATTGATTTTTTACAGAGAGGAAGGGAGAGACAAAGAGTGAGAAACATCAATGAGAGAAAAACAAGCAAGATGTGAGAGTAAGAAATATGATAAGCCTTTCCACTCTCAGAACAAGAATGGCAGCTCTCCATGAACAGAAACAACTACAAAGGGTTGAGTACATTGAAACCCTGGCCACTTTTGCTCAATGGCTGAAGTGTCAGGCTCCACACTGAAGAGTTGAGGGTTTGATTCCTTGTCAAGGTTACACACCTTGGCTGAGGTTAGCTCCCTGCCCCAAGTGGTGAGTGCAATAGTCAACCAGTCAATGTATCTCTCTCACAGCAATGTTCCCCACTGTCTCCTTGCTTCTTCCTTTCCCCTCTCTCTGAAATGCAACAGGATATAAAAATAAACAACCATAAAAAAAAAACCACCAAAAAACAGATACAAACAAACAAGTGAGTATTAAAAAAAAAAAAATTGTAATGAAAGAAAAAAGAATTCAGTAGAGCCAAAAAGAGTAGGGGCTGAATTACAAAGAGATAACCAGAGTAGATTACCAAACATATTTACCTAGGGTTAATGTGGGTGCCCTGTCCAGAGAACAACAAATGTTCAAGGCCAATCTGAGCTTGGGAATCCTAATCAGAGGCTTCAAGGCAAATTTGCTATACACAGTCACAAAAGAAGGACACAGCAAGGTATATTAGTCACTGTATAGGTGTGCACTTCTATAACCAAAAGAATAATGTCACTATTTCCAAAGAAGCCTCTTTGGTCTAAATCGTTATAAAGTGTGTTACTGACCAGGCAGTATGCACCTGCGTGGTGGGATTGCTGTTTGTGAGGCTGCCATGTTAGCAGTGGTGACTTAGTTTGGCTCTTAGGCTGGCTCCTACATTGTGAGCGAAGACACAGTGTTAACCAGCCAGCATGCAGCTCTCTGGTTTATAGACTACTGTGTAGCACTTTACTTTGAAGAACTGTTTTCTCTAGTGTCTCCTTGGTAGCAATGGTTACATAAACTACAATTAGGACTCCCTTATATCCACACCACTTCCTATATCTTCTTCATCTAATAACCAGCGTCCATAATTGTCCAGTTCCAGGCAGAGAAGGACCTGTGCTCTCACAGTTAAAACAAGTGTCATGCTGAAACTGGATTGGCTCAGTGGATACAGCATAGGCCTTTGGACTTACAGGTCTCAGGTTTGATTCCAGTAAGGGCTTGTACCTTGGTTGCGAGCACATCCCCAGTAGGGGGTGTGCAGGAGGCAGCTGATTGATGTTTTTCTCTCATTGATGTTTCTGACTCTTTGTCTCTCTCCCTTCCTCTCTGTAAAAAATCAATTAAATACATCTTTAAAATAAATAAATAAATAAATAAATAAATAAATAAATAAATAAATAAAACAAGGGTTAGAGTTTCCTACATCAATCACTGCACTTGTACAAATACTGACCCTATTGGCCTACTCTGTGAAAAATTCTGGACATTTCTGTATTTACGAATCACGGAATTCTGTGCAACATTTGTGAACTCTCCAAGGTCTACTTAATGAGCAGTCCCCATAAAATTTATCAGTATGCATCCCAAAGGAAATCCCGTTTGCAACAACTATCCCAGGAATAAAATATAAATGAATATGATCCAAATAGTATTTGACACCAAAGCCTCTGAAACCATCATTTGTAATTAAAAAAATAATTCCTGCTGAAACCTGTTTGGCTCAGGGGATAGAGCGTCAGCTTGCGTACTGAAAAGTCCCAGGTTCAATTCCGGTCAAGGGCACATACCTTGGTTCGGGGCACATCCCCAGTGGGGGGCGTGCAAGAGGCAGCTGATCGATGTTTCTCTCTCACAGACATTTCTAACTCTCTATCCCTCTCAATTCCTCTCTGTGTAAAATCAATAAAAGATATTTTTTATTAAAAAACTAAAATAAAATAAAAAATAAAATAAAATAACAATTTCCTGCCAAAGCCACTGTGGACCCATAGACTTTTTTTTTTTTTTTAACCATAGACTTTTTTTTATTCTAACCTCAGCTCATGGAGCTTCAAGGACTTTCCCAAACCTGAAACAACACCCCATCCGGTCAAAATCCTTAATTCCATATGCCAATGAATGATTTCTTGAGCTAGAATTGGTCCTAGAGTTTGAAAGGAGAAATTGCTTCATCAAATGTGTAGACATCAGAGAGAGAATCCAAGATGGCTGCTCAGGTAGACACCTAGCCGCAGCCACACACAACAATTTCAATAAAATACAACTAAAATATAAAATGGACTTTATGCAGAACTACAGGAAGGTCAACTGACTGGAAATTCTACAACGAGAAGCAAGGAGAAAACCAGAAGGAAGAGCGGAGGAGCTGTAAAAGCCTAAGGTATGGAGACACGTCGCACGCGCACGGAGAGGACAGACCCAGAGAGGAGGGAGGATGAGTGCCTGGCTGGCGTTCCCAAGCGGGAAGGAAATAAAAGCTCCGACTGTGCTGGGCCCCAGTTCCGACTGCTCTGAACCCCAGTTCTAGGCCAGACCCTGGGGACCCAGGCTCACACAGAGGGAGCTGGGCTGCGAGGCGAAACCCCGGGGGAGCAGCGAAAGGAGGCCCCGGCGCGCACATTGTGCGCACAGAAGGGTCGGTTGGCTGTGCTGCAGGATTTCCCCGGTGGGAAGGAGACTGGGGCTCCAGACTGCTCTGAACACCACCTCCAACTCCACTTCCAAATGACTGAACCCCAATACCGGACTAATTGGAGGAAAGCCTAGACTGTTTGGTAGCAGGCGAATATCGAGGGTACCTTTCTGTCAGAGGCGCTTGCAGTGAGTACTGAAGGACCCTGAGACCCAGGAGCCGCATAGGGCGGGGCTGACGGAAGCCAAGGCTGTAGGCTACACCCTGAAACCCCATCCCATCTGTAACTGCGAAATACGACAAAGAAATATATCACAAACAAAAGAAATGGAGGACAAAAAGCGACTGGATATAGAGTTCAAATCTACGCTTATAAAGTTTTTCAAGAATTTCCTAGAAAAGATTGTTAAGACCTATGAGGATAGGAAAAGAGATCAACTAGAATTAATAAGGAATCAACAAGAAATGATAAGGGATCAACAAAAAATAAAGAATACATTGTCTGAAATAAAAAATATTATACAAAGTCCTAAAAACAGACTGGAAGATCGCAAGAATCAAGACAAAGATTTAGAACACAAAGAGCCAGAGGACACTCCTCTGCAGAAGGGAGAAGATAAGAGAATCCAGAAAGTTGAAGATAATGTAAGAAACCTCTGGGACAATTTCAAGCGAACCAACATCAGAATTATGGGGATTCCAGAAGAGAGAGAGCAAGATACCGAAAGAGTACTAGAAGAAATAGTGACAGAAAACTTCCCCCACCTGGGGAAAGAAATAGACTTACAAGTCCAGGAAGCCCGCAGAACCCCAAACAAAAGGAATCCAAGGAGGACCACACCAAGACATATCATAATTAAAAATCCAAGAGCAAAAGACAAAGAGAGAATATTAAAAGAAGCAAGAGAAAAGCAGGTAGTGACCTATAAAGGAGCACCCATAAGATTGTCAGCTGATTTCTCAACAGAAACCATGCAGGCCAGAAGGGAATGGCAAGAAATATTCAAGGTGATGAATAACAAGAACCTACAGCCAAAAATAATCTACCCAGCAAAGCTATCACTCAGAATCAAAGAACAGATAAAGAGCTTCACTAATAAAAAAAAGCTAAAAGAGTTCATCACCGACAAACCAGAATTATATGAATTGCTGAAGAGGGTTATTTAGGAAGAGGAATAAGATAAAAATAAAAATTATGAACAACAAATACGTAACTATCAACAAGTGAATCTAAAAACCAAGGGAATTAAAAATTCTGATGAACAATATTAACTGGTGAATATAATAGAAGCAGAGGTATGGAAGGAGAGTGGGCTGATAATTCTCGGGGAAAAGGGGAGTGGGAGTGCGGAAAGAGTCTGAACAAAAACTGTGCACCTATGGATGAGGACAATGGGGGATGGGGAAAGGACAGAGGGTGGGGTAGGAACCTGGTGGAGGGGAGCAATTGAGGGGGGAGGAAGAGGAACACATTTGTAATATTATGAACAATAAAGATTTATTTTAAAAAAAAAACAAAAAACATAATAAAAGCCTTACATGATGAACCTAAAGCCAAACATCAGACTCCATGGGCAAAAACTAAAACCATTTTCCCTATCAGGAGCCACACAGGGAAGACAACTTTCATCTCTCCTGTTTGATATAATACTGGAAGTGCTAGCCATATTGAGCAGTCAAGAGGAAGAAATGAAAGGTATCCAAATTGCAAAAGAAGAAATAAAACTGTCATTATTCACAGTTGACATGATATTGTACATAGAAAACCATAGAGACTCCATCAAAAAACCACTAAATATAATAAATACATTCAGGCTGGAACTAGTTGGGCTCAGTGGATGGAGCGTTGACCTGAGGACTAAAGGGTCCCAGGTTACGTTCCGGTTGGGGGCATGTGCCTTGGTTGTGGGTGCGTCCCCGGTGGGGGTGTGCAAGAAGCAGCTAATCGATGATTCTCTCTCATTGATGTTTCTAGCTCTCTATCCCTCTCTCTTCCTCTCTGTAAAAAAAATCAATTAAAAAATATTTAAAATAAATAAATACATACATACATACATTCAGCCCTGCAGCAGGATACAAAATTAACACCCAGAAATATGACTTTTTTACACACCAATAATGAACTCACAGAAAGAATAACAAACAATCCTATCTACCACTGCAATAAAAATATTAAAATATCTAGGAATAACTTTACTAGATTGAAATTTACACTTAACATACTCCAAAACTACAGGAAGGGTCCCAGGTTTGATTCTGGCCAAGTGCACATGCCTGGGTTGCAGGCTTGATCCCCAATAAGGGGCGGGCATGCAGAAGGCAGCCAATGAATGATTCTGTCTCATCATTGATGTTTCTATCCATCTCTACCTCTCCCTTCCTTTCTAAAATCACAGAAGAAAATACTTGCAAATCATTAATATATATTTTAAAGAAGAACAAACTGTGGAAGATCTACATAATGGCACATTACACTGCTGTAAAAAAAGAAGAAAGTCTTACTCTTTGCAACAGCATGGATGGACCTGGAGAGCATTATGATAAGTGAAATAACCGAGTTGAAGAACAAGATATATCACATGATCTCACTCATTTGTGGTCATAGGGGAAAGAGAAGTCATATGCAAAACATATATAATACTTTAAACAATAAAGAATTAAAAAAATATGTTGAAAATACCCCTAGTACACAACACAATCTATAGGTTAAATGCAATCCTGAGGATAATTCTATTATATGTTATTTTACAAAGAAATGAAAAGAGAATCTTGAAATATATGAGAATAGCAAAAACAAAGCTGGTAGCATCACACTTCCTGACTTCATTTTAGTACAAAAAGAAAGCAAATAAATAGTGTGTTGCTGGCAAAACATAGACACATACATCAAGAAAAGAGAACAGAAAACACAGAAATAAAATCAGGCATATCCTTTCAAGTAATCTCTGATAGAGCTGCAAGCCACAGAAGAAGGGAAAGATAGTTTCTTCAATGAATGGTGCTGTGGAAATCAATACTTTCATGTAAACACAACAATGGTGCTGTGGAAATCAATACTTTCATGTAAACACAACACCACTGCATGACAGAATTGAATGTTAGCCCTAAAACTGAAAACTCTTCAGGACACTCTAGAGAAAAAGTTTTGGAGGTTTGTTTTGTACAGGATGTTCTGAAGGTGATACCCACCACCAGACAAAAAAGAAAAAACTGTCCAGATTGCAACAAATAAAGAAAAAAAGCTACTTCTCAGCACAACAGCAATAAACAAAATGAAAAAAAAGGAAATGTAAAGAACAGAAGAAAATACTTGCAAATTATCTGAAGGAATTGCTTGGAGAGAATGTGGATTCAGTTTTGATCAGCATAATGAAGCAAATATTGCAATATGGAAAGAATTTCACACAATTATGTGGAATTCCCAGGAAACAATAAAGCTATGTTAATAATACCATGGTGCAGGCTAATAACAATACAATGAGTCTATCTTAAAAGCAAACTCAATATAACTTCATTACAAACACATTATTCTAAGCACTAGTAATAAGCACCTGAGCTTCATACAAACATGGTGGCACTAGACCTGCAGAACCCAAGGTTGCAAAAACATGGACTTTGTAGAAAAGCAGGTGTGGGGGAGCAATATTTGCAAAGCGCAATTAAGCACACGCAATAATATGTGTTCCTGTATGTCATAAGCCTTTAATATATAAAATACACAAGGTCATCAAAAGAATGTTTAAACAAAAAATAGTTATTAACCAGGATAAGGATGTAGAAACACTTCTTCTCAAAAATGGGTACAAATAACCAAATGGAATATAGAAAATGCTTTCCTCACAGAAAAAAGTGGAATTCCTCATGCTTCCTGAAACACTACTTATCCTCAAGTCCTTCCCTGTGAATGTAGTCCAGCAGGGAGAATTGGGGCTTCAGCAATAGAAGAGAGCAGTGGGAACAGACCCACCCTCCCCAGGAAACTGGAAAATCAAGCAGTTCCACAGTCTACATGGGAGGACAAAGCACACCCTGAGGGATGGGGCCTGGAAAATCGCAAAGCCAAGTCCAGGTCACTGGTGAGAGTGAGGGTCTTACCCAGCGAGGATACAAGTTCAAAGTTCTCCAGCATCACATTCAGGTACAGCTGTCTCTGACCCACATCAAGGAGGCGCCATTCCTTCCTGGAGAAGTACAGGGCAATGTCCTCAAAGGTCACACCAACCTGTCAGAATGGAGACAATTGACACCAGAGTTGTCTCTGAGAACCAGTAATTCTCCTGACAATCATTCCCCACCCTCAACCACCTCCAGGACAAAGAAAACCCTAATGCCAGTGCAGACTGCTCTCTCACCACAATCTCATTACTCACTGGGATTGCACTCAGCAGAGCAGCTGGGTTAGGTGGGAAGCATTGGGGGAGAGTAGAGAGCAATGTCATTTAAGCTCTGGGCAATGCTTGCAGAGCCCCAGCCTTCCTGCCCAGCAATTCCACTACAGTGTCCCAGACAATGCCTCCAAGACAAAGCCAAGTCTGAGTTTCTGCTTCACATTTAAGTCCCCACACAAGGTTCCGGGGACCATCAGCTCACATTTCCTCCAGATGTGCACACCGCCTAGTAATCTTTATCCTTGTGGACAAAAGGACCCACATGCTGACCTGACAAGCTCAGGGGAGGCCTGCATGGCAGTCTTGCAAACTCAGAGACCTAAAGGAACCACAGGATGGTCTGAAATTAAACTTTAACCAAATACAGTGATGGTGGGCAGTTACATCCTAGGATGGTATCTTCACTGCCAAAGTCAAGCTTTTCCTTAACTGAGCCTATCTGTGTTTTTGCATCTAAGATAACATACCCTTGAAACGTCTGGGTAACTTGAAACTTCCCTTTTTCTGGAACCCCAGGGGGACAACCGGATGTGGTGGGCTACAGGACAAATACCACAAATGCTTTCATTATCATATTAATTGTTCCTGTATCCACCTAAGTATGTGTCCATCACTTTACTTTTTATCCAATCCCAAGGGTTTCCCACCACTTTGGTTTATCCCACCTCCTTAATCTATCACTAATCAATTTCATGTAACCCATCTATGTGCCAACTTTGATTGCAATGAATAAATACAAATGTAACCCGCCATTCTGAGGAGCCTTATCTCCATTCATTGAGGTTTTGCTTCCCGCCTATGTCCACAGTTTGGCTCAAAAATATACACAAAAAAACTCTTTTAGAGATTTCAATGGTCTTTTAAGTTAGCTACTTCTTTCCATCTTCAGTCCCGGGTTCACTCCCTCAGCTCTGCCACCTTCCTGCTCCAATGCCACTGGGTCTCGCTGGGCTCCCCATGAACTTGGCACATGGCATGTGGAGAAGCCTGTCTCCCAGCGGGTCCAGGACCACCCCAGGCCCCTGAGGGACCACACAGCGGGGAAAGCCCAAATGAGGCCGTGAGTCCTCCCTGCAGCCTCCGATAAGCCCGCCAATCCTCACAGCCACACCGTCAGGGGAACCTCAGAGGCCGGGCACCCCTGTCCTCTCCGCCCCGCACTGGCTGTGTCCTCAGAAGCCACCGCGCTCCTCCCTCCCCTCCGCCTTCCTCACGGTCCTCCCCGCGGACGGAGCTGCAGGAGGGACAGGCCCGCACCGGGCTGTGGGGTGCGGGGTGAGGAGGCGGGGGGCCTTGGGGACAGGAACTCACCTCAGCGAAGCCCCTCAGCGCGGGCGCCGCCATCGCGCTCTGTGGGCCGCGCGGGGCGGGGGCGGCGGGAGCGGAAGCCGCGGCAGGAATGGCGGGGCCTGTCCCGGCCCTGGCCGGGGTCCGGGCGGTGACTCCGAGCTCCAACCCCACGTGTGAGCGGTGAGCACCACGGGAGGCTCTCACAACGGGCAGTGAGGTGGGAACACCACGCTCCAGTCCTGAGATAACACCTCAGAAGACAAAATCCCGCCAAAAGGACTTGGTCCCGTCCCAGAGAAGGGGCCAAAAGGAAATACCTTATTTGAGCCCCCATTGGCTCAGCCTGGTGGCATTCCATGCGTGGCCTTGTGGGTAATGTAGTTTCTCCCCTCCAAGGCCAGGGTCAGGTGTTGCTTAGTAGGCACAAGCACAGCTTTAAGGGGCAAATAGCCCAAGAAGACAAGTATTCTCAAGGTCACCTAGCCCCTTCAGGGGATGTGATGTCTGGAGCAAGTATGTTTCCGGTGACCCTGCCTGGCTTCCTTTAGCTGCAGGTTTTGCATATCTTTCTTCAGGACCTGCTCTTCCTAAATGACAGGCAATGTTTCTTCATTCAGGACTTTTGGCATGAGGTGCCTGTAGGCCAACTATAGCTTGCACAGGCTGCTCAAGTCTCTAACTAGTTCTAACCTGCCTCCACTGAATCCACTGTACAATGTTAATGTCACAGACACTCATAATAAGAGCATGTGCTTCTGAAGCCATCCAAAGTGTTAGCATCACATGGGCTGCAGTGTGGATAAGGTGGCCAAGAGACATGTGAAAAAAATGCTCAAAATCAGAGAGATGCAAATTAAAGCAACAGGTATCACCCCACCACTGTCAGAATGCTTGCCATCAGCAAATCAACAACATTGCTTTGGACTTTGGGAAGTGAGAAGTGTCCGGTTTGGGAACATTTCTGCAGCGAGAAGCTGGAGATCAAAAGAGATGGAAAGAGAGGGAGAAAAAAAAATTAATGCTGGGAGAGAATCATTTATCAGCTGCCTTATATATGCCCGAAATTCTGTATCTAGCCGGGCACAAGCATCCTCCCTTACTATGAATGGAATCGTGTCTTCCTAGTTGACATGTATAAACTAGAGGTTTACTGAACAAAATTCATGCACTCAGGAGGATCCCTCAGCCCGGGCTGTGTCCTCTTGCAGTCATGGAGCCCTTGGGGAATGTTTAGCTCACATAGGTAAATAACACATATATCTACATAAAGAATTATATAGAGTCTTAATGGGTTTGGCTCAATGAATAGGGCATCTGCCTATTGACTGAAGGGTAGCGGTTCGATTCCATTCAAGGGTTTGTACTACCCCAGTGGGGGATGTGTAGGAGACAATTGATCAATGTATCTCTCACATCGATGTTTCAAACTCACTATCCCTCTCCCTTCCACTCTATAAAAAATCAATAAAATATATATTTTAAAAAATTAAAAAAACGTACAAAAGAATTATACAGAAATGTTTGTACCAGCTTTATTAGCAATAGCCAAATAGTTATTAAAATGGACATGAGGGTGGTATAGTCAAAGATATGAATATCCACCAGAGCGTTAGCGATTTGGCTCTGGTTAGAGCATCAACCTGCAGACCAAAGGCCCCTGGGATCGATTCCAGTAAAAGGCAAGTACTTTGACTGAAGATTCCTTCCCAGCCCGGCCATGGTCACAGCTGATGTAGGAGGAAACCAATCAAAGTGTTTCCTTCACATCAATAATTCTCTCTGCCTTTTCCTCTCCCTCTCAAACTCTCCAAAATAATCAATTGGAAAAATATCCTCTGGTGTGGATTAAAAACAACAAAAAGAATATATATATATAGATGAGTTACTAATATAGCTTTTACAAATTTCCAAGCATTTATAAAATCATAATTAACACTGAAAAATACTTAGAAAAAGCCAAGTTATTTAATAAATGGAAAGCAAGTCCAAGGTTAGTAGGAAAACTGTGAAAAACAGCAAACAGATCAAATGAGGTCATGAAACAATTACATAGTCACAGATATGTTCAGTATTGAGTGTCATGACGGTTTCAGCTTCATGTACATGTTAATATTGATCAAGTACTACACTTACTACACTTACCAAATGCAACTTACTGTAAAAATAATGGCTCAAGATAAAAGAAATATACTTTCACCTAGTTTGGAATAGGTTTGGCAACTTTATATTCAACTCACATACATAAGGCCCCTGGGCAAGTCTCATCTCAGTGACAGTAAATGTATCAATAAAGAACTTTCACCCAACATCAAATAGAATGCTTACTGGGTCATAGGCCTAAAGACACCCTTTCTTTTCCTTTTAGTTTTGCTGCCAGAGCACCAATGGCTATGATGGGAAAATCTCACAGGATATAGGAAGCCACAAAACCACTTGATGGTAATTAATGACAATGACAGCTCCAGAGATGATAAACATTCCTCAGTGCTTCAGATCTGTGTACACACAGCTCCTGTAGTCTTCATCAAAAAAAATTTCTGGGTGCAGGTTTAGATGAAGACGATTCAGTCTAAGAGGTTGCAGTCTGGGCAAACAACAATTAGGTCAGTGTTTCTGAAGTGAAAGGGTTTCTCCTCACTACAATGGTCCTCCAACCAGTGACCATCACCCATGGAATTGAGGGCATTAGGGCACATAGCCCTATGCAAAACATGGGCAGGAAGTTCCCTTAAAAGTCTTAGCACCCCCTGAAAACAAGAAAAAAATTCACACCGCTCCCAGACATACTTGAGGTTCTCACAGCTCCCCCTTTTCCAATGATCTCTGCATCTCAAAGCATCCATTTCCAAAGGAGGACTGCAGTGCATAGTGATTCTTAAGAAAATTATGGGAAAGAATGTAACTTTTGCAAAAACTCCTGATTAAATTTTTGCACCATAGTCTTCCCTTAACGACAAATAATGTTGCAGACCATATAAAAAAATTTTTTCTTTTCTTTTTAAAAAAATATATTTTATTGATTTTTTACAGAGAGGAAGGGAGAGGGATAGTTAGAAACATCAATGAGAGAGAATCATCAATCAGCTGCCTCTTGCACACCCCCCACTGGGGATGTGCCAGCAGCCAAGGCACATGCCCTTGACCGGAATCGACGCGAGACCTTTCACTCCGCAGGCTGACGCTCCATACACTGAGCCAAACCGGTTTTTAAAATTACTTGCACTCTTAACGACTTTCTCCAATGTGAACTTTCTGATGATATCGAAGACCACTGCTACTTGTAAAACATTTCCCACAATCATCGCATTTATAAGGCTTTTCTCCTGTATGAACTCTCTGATGCCTACGAAGGTGACTGCTATTGGTAAAAGCTTTCTCACACTCACTACATTGATAAGGCTTTTCCCCACTGTGAACTCTCTGATGATATTGGAGACCAGTGCTTTGTGTAAAAGTTTTGCCACATTCACTGCATTCATAAGGCTTCTCTCCAGTATGAACCATCTGATGACAATGAAGCCCAGTGCTACTGGTAAAACATTTCCCACATTCACTGCATAGATAAGGCTTTTCTCCTGTGTGAATTCTTTGATGAATACGAAGGTGACTGCTATTGGTAAAAGCTTTCTCACACTCACTACATTGATACGGTTTTTCTCCACTGTGAACTCTCTGATGATATTGGAGACCACTGCTTTGTGTAAAAGTTTTGCCACATTCACTGCATTGATAAGGCTTCTTCCCAGTGTGAACCATCTGATGACAAAGAAGGTTACTGTTACTGGTAAAAGATTTCTCACATTCACTGCACTTATAAGGCTTTTCTCCTGTATGAACTCTCTGATGACTAAGAAGGTTACTGCTACTGGTAAAAGCTTTCTCACAATCACTACATTGAAAAGGCTTTTCTCCACTGTGAACTCTCTGATGTCTACCAAGGTGGCCCTTAGTGTTGAAAGATTTTCCACAATTACTGCATTTATAAGGCTTTTCTCCTGTATGAATTCTTTGATGATAATGAAGGCGAGAACTAGTTGTAAAATATTTCCCACATTCAGAGCACTCAAAAGATTGGTTTTCAACATGGACACCTCTTTCCTGAATAAACATGTCAGTGCAAATATTGTCTTTCCCACATTCTTCTCTGGTGTAATCATTTTTTCTCCTTTGAAAAGTCATCTCTTGTGCTGAGATAGCATTTGCACTGTCCCTGGTGAGAGTATCCTTTAGGTGGCTATGTCCTGATTTGAAAAGGACACCCTTACCAACCTCCCCACGTGTGAAACGATTCTGGGACACATTGAAATTGCGACTGTTTGCATGTGAGATCGTGTCCACATCTGTAATGAAAATCTTCTCTCTCACATGCTGTTGGTCACCTTTTACACAAAAGGAAAACTGTTCTGCACATGCCCCACACCTCAACAGTATTTGTCCGTTCTGTGTTCTCTGAAGCTTCATCACATGGAAAATGTTTCCCAAGGTGAGCCCACAACTCTCACAGGGATGTCTCTTCTGAGAAGACAAGGCTACCTTGGGATTCCTTCCCTGTGACACTCTTACTGATTCCTTCTGTTTTGTTGGTGCCTCCACATTCTCTGCTCCACAGCAGCAACCTGAACAAGAGGAAAGGAAGTTGAAGTATATGTTGACCTTATGAAAACAAAGTATCTTCACCACAAATGTTTCTGTCATGAGTAGGCCTGATTCCAAAGACAAATTGTTAAGACATGTGAGGTGTACGCTGAGGAAATTGCTGTTACATATAATGCGGCCCCAAAAGTCAGTAGATGATGAAATGCACACCAAGAAAGAGAGAGAAGTTCAGGATGGGACACAAAGAAGAGAAGAACGTTCTACTAATTGTTCCTGCACAAACGGATTCCTTTAGGATCTTACATGCTGACCATATGAGTCCGTGTAGAAAATCTTGTAGCTGCTCAAAGCCATATAAATTAATTGTATTAGAACACACGATGTTCAACATCAATTTAATATGTGTACTCCAAACGTGCTGCAAGCATGGACCATTTTTGGTTTGTAGTAAAGAGAGTTTTGTATAAGAGGCAGAGGTACAAAGCCCAAAGTTGAGGTTATAAGGAATCTCAGTAGATTATAATCGCTATTAAAGCTGAGTAGTTGGTAAAGTATCAATAAGCACAAAGAGCCATAATTGGGAAACTGTAAGAAAACACTGGATTTCTAGCTATGAATATAACAAAGGCCAGCCAGTGACCCTTCACCAAGGCAAGACTGCCGGTTAGACCACTGTGCCATTCATAAAGTCATACTTCTTCTGTGATGCACAAATGATTCTTCCCCTGAAACCCAATTGAGCCACTGCATGGGATAAATGATGCAAATCTTCAAAGAGAAACAGAACAGTTGCATGGTCAAAATTATGGCAGACCAACAAAGGACAAATGAGATCACAGACAAAAGACCTGCCGAAACCGGTTTGGCTCAGTGGATAGAGTGTTGGCCTGTGGACTGAGGGGTCCCAGGTTCAATTACAGTCAAGGGTATATGTCTTGGTTGCGGGCATATTCCCATTAGGGGGTGTGCAGGAGGCAGCTGGTCCATGTATCTAGTTCTCTGTCCCTCTCCCTTCCTCTCTGTAAAAAATCAATAAACTATATGAAAAAAAAACCTATGTGAGTGACATCAGCAAGATAGCAGGATCAGAGATATGAGCATTTCCCCTCATTCCAGTGCAAGTACATAGCCATCATGACCAAAGCATACCACAGGAAATGAGAATAAGAGTACCTTGAAAACGAACAGTATTACAGAACACAAATAAAAAAGAATTGTTTAGAAGGCATGTAAAATGAAAAAAATTTAAAAAAACTGGTTAAGCAAAGAAATTTAACATACCTAAAGGAAAAAAAAAAGGTTCAGAGATCCCTCCACAAACCACTGTAATTTTGCTATCAATGATCCAAGTAGCCTCTTCTTCAAAAAATATTGGAAAATTTTGTGTTTACAAACCACAGAATGCCTTGGCAAGTATGGCGTAGTTGACTTGAGCATCGTCCAGTGTACCAAAGGGTCAATGATTCAAACATGCTGTTACTAAACCTGCAGAACCCAAGGTTGCAAATAGATGGTCTTTGTAGAAAAGCAGGTGTGGGGGAGCAATATCTGAGAGGCACAATTACGTACATGCAACAATATGTGTTGCTGTATGTTATAAGCATTTAATATATAAAATACACAAGGTCGTAAAAAAATGTTTCACAGCCGGTACTGGTTTGGCTCAGTGGATAGAGCATCGGCCTGAGGACTGAAAGGTCCCAGGTTCGATTCCGGATAAGGGCATGTACCTTGGTTGCGGGCACATCCCCAGTGGGGGGTGTGCAAGAGGCAGCTGATCGATGTTTCTCTCTCATAGATGTCTCTAACTCTCTGTCCCTCTCAATTCCTCTCTGTGTAAAATCAATAAAATATATTAAAAAAAAAAAGTTTCACAAAAAAATAGTTATTAACCAGGATAAGGATGTAGAAACACTTCTTCAAAAAAAGTAGGTACAAATGACCAACAGGAATATAGAAAATGCTTTCCTCACAGAAAAAAAGTAGAATCCCTCATGCTTCATACAACACTATCAACCTCAAGTACTTCCCTGTGGACGTGGTACAGCAGGGAGAATTGGGGCTTCAGCAATAGAAAGTAGCAATGGATAAGACCAACCCTCCCCAAGACACCAATTACCCAGGAAACTGGAAAATCGAGCAGTTCCACAGTCTACATGAGAGGACACAGCACACCCTGGGGGATGGGGCCTGGGAAATCACAAAGCCAAGTCCAGGTCACTGGTGAGAGTGAGGATCTTACCCAGCGAGGATACAAGTTCAAAGTTCTCCAGCATCACATTCAGGTATAGCTGTCTCTGATCCTCATCAAGGAGGCGCCATTCTTTCCTGGAGAAGTACAGGGCAATGTCCTCAAAGGTCAGACCAACCTGTCAAAATGGAGACAATTGACACCAGTGCTATCTCTCTGAGAAACAGTAATTCTCCTGACAATCATTCCCCACCCTCAACCTCCTCCAGTGTACCCAGTTAGTGTGGACACCAGGCTCTAATGCCAGTGCAGGCTGCTCTCTCATCACAGTCCCATTACTCACTGGGATTGTACTCAGCAGAGCAGTTGGGTTGGGGGATTGAAGGATTGAGGGAGGGGAGGATAGAGAGCAATGCCATTTAAGCTCTGGGCAAGGCCTGCAGGGCCCCAGCCTTCCAGCCAAGCAATCTCACTGCAGTCTCCCAGACCATGCTTTCAAGACAAAGCCAAATATGGATTTCTGCTTCACATTTAAGTCCCTACACCAGGTCCAGGAAACAAACACCTCACACTTCCTCCAGAAGCACACCACTGGGTAATCTTTAACCTTGTGGACAAAAGGGCCCACATGCTGACCTGACAAGCTCAGGGGAGGCCTGCAGGGCAGTCTTGGAAACTCAGAGACTTAGAGGAACCACAGGATGGTCTGAAATTAAATTTTAACAAAAGGCAGAGAAGGTGGGCAGTTACATCCTAGGCTGGTATCTTCAATTACAAGGTGAAGCTTTTCCTTAACTGAGCCTATCTGTGTTTTTG